TTTTTTTTTTTTTGCAATGAATGTTTACAAACCTTTCTTGATTGTAAGTACATTTTCTTCTCTTTTTTTCCCTTTTAGGAGGAAATTATCACTGTTTCTGGTGGAGAGTTGCTGCAGGAGCCCTGTGGACAGAGGGACAGCCCGCCGGACTACCATCTGTTGTTTGAATGATAGTTTTTCTCTTTATCAGTTGGGTTCCTTTGGGACTCTTCCCTTTTTTTAAAGGACAGCTAAAGAACTACCCAAGTGGAATCCTTATGGCCTTCAGAGTGTCTACCATAATCCAGAAGCACAAGTAGATTGAGTAGATTAGTATATCCCAAGTGATACTAACTACTGGCGTTTATGCTGCTGGCCCCACCCCTGTGCTCAGGACAAATATTGCTAGTGGTGGATGCACTCTGCTTTGTGGAGAATTTAGCTATGACCTTCATGACTGCCTTCAACCACACTTCTAGAGTGCATGGACCATGTCTTGATAATTCCAAATAATTCTAGTGCCGAACCCTGAATCTAACATATGGTAGACTTTCAGTAAACATTTGTTGAAGAAACACAGCTCTTCTGAAAGTTTTCCAGCATGACCCAGTGATCATTATTTCCTACTTCTTACTCTTTACAAAGTCATGGGAGTAAAAAGAAAAATTGCGTAATATTTATATGGAGAACACAGATGTGACATGCTCCATGACATTCATCATTCTTGTTGTTATTTTCCCTGGAATTGTCTGAGGTTTCCAAATTCCAACTTCCAGGACAGGTGGCTGTTTCTGCATTGTCTTCCTTATTTGATCTTTCTTCTCCCTCCTTCCTCTGTCTTTGAGTCATATCTTGGCCCTGGTTTTGGAATATTAAAGTAGTGATCTTTTACATTCCTGCAGATGTGCCCAAGCCCAAGAGTGAATTATTAACCCAAGAATGGTGTTTAAACATCTAACAAGATCTTTGCCTTCTAGGATGCTGTGTACATGAAGTTACTCAAATGATTAGCTCTATTATCATTGCTCTTTTGACTTGGATTCTGCCGTCTACTTAATCTGAGTACGTTCTTCATATTAACAAGGAGACTCTCCCAGTGAGGACCTCAGGAATGGCATCTATTTATGCATGACCATGTTCTATACATATGGCCATAGAGGAGGAGACAGCAGAGTGTGATAGCAAAATTACAGGTTTTCAGGTCAAGAAGACCTGGATTCAGATCCACAGCTTGAGTGCTCACTACCTTGCAGCACAGTGGTTGGTGATCCTACAGACACAAATGGACTCTGGGGACATCAGGGGCTGGTTAACCTTTCTAGTTAGCTGCAGCAAACCTCTCTTTCCCTACTTTCCTTCTTGCTTCACCCATCCCTCATGTATTTGGCCACTTGTGGCTCTGTTCTTTCTCTTTCTGTTGATCAGCCACAAACAAGCATAAACCAGCGGCACATCGCTCCACACTGCACTCCCAGCTCCTCACCTCAGCTGTCATGATATAGAAGGGCTACAAGTCAGTGCCCATGCAGCGAGCCCTTGAGCACAGGACACCAGAGACAGGCTGATGGATCATCTCTTTTTCTCTTGCCTCCTGGGAGGACTGAATGGAGAGGCAGATCTTCATATGGCCTCTGACAGATCTACAAGATGGAGAAACCAGTCATGATAGCAGCAAGTGGTGACCAGAGCAAATGTCACCCCTGTTTGTACTTCCTACCCCTCTGCCTCACTACCGCTCCATCTTCATCTCTGGGATTGCTCTCATGAACCAAGGAATAGCCCAGAAACATTGGGCACAGGCTCTACCTCTGGGGGCCTAAGGGATGCTTCACAACATCAACTTTGTAATTCAGACTCAAGAGCTCCCTTCCCTGTCTCCCTGAATGGATGAAGTGGACCAATGGAAGGATCTGTCTTCAGAGTACCCAAATACTTTTAAACCGTAGCCATGTATTATCAAAATCACCATATATCTAAGAGAACTTCACAGAACCAAGTTTTTAAAAAATTTATTTTGGCTATGCTATGCATCCAATTGAAATTGTTGAAGTCATTTAATTTTGCAAAACCTCTGAATACCATGGAAGAAAATTTTCTCTAGGAAGTCATTAGTTGCTTTTGGCAGATCTGTTAAGTGGCAAATGTGGAAACTGTCGAAAGGAAAGGCCTGCTCGCTACAACTGTAAACAGCTACAGCTTCATGCAGAGTGGGGATGTAGTGGGGATGTGATGTGATGATTTTCAGCAAGTTGGAAGCAATTTCCAGCAGCAGCTTTGAAAGCAGACTGAGATGGGTTGAGAACCTGAATCCCCAGCCTGTTGTTGCTGTCACCTTCTAATTAATATGTGAGAGACAACAGCAGAATTTTCCATCTCTAATACATACAATTCATTTTATTTGGGGCTTGCACTTTCTACATGTCTCATATATTTTAGGTTTTTACCTGGCTTTAAAATAAATTCTTTGTAAGGTGTCCTGCAAATGAAATTACTGTCTGGAAAACTGCAATTTTATCTTGAGAGTTTTATTATGCTAATAAATGTCAGGATTCTCAAATAAAGGAATTGCCTCTTTTTTTTTTTTTGCCTGAGCCCTACAAATATAATGAAAAATAGTCATTCAGCTACAACACTCAGCAGAGGGAAAATTTACAATCTATAACTAGAAAGAGAAGTTGTAAAGAACACTATGCAACTTAATGGAAGATAAATTTCAGGAATGAAAAGGCAGCATGAGATACAGATCTAGGGAGATCTCAGAGGGACAAACATTTATAAGGACCATCTAGTGGTTCAGGGGCTCAACTGTGAGGTATGGGTGGGGCTCCTCCCTAAAGGGAGACAGATGTGAAGATCTCGTGCTGGGGCAATTGATGCCCTTTAGTCCCTTCGAAACTCTCTTTGTCCTCAGGACTGACTTAGGATCCCAGATGGATTTCTCGATCTCTGTGCCATATGGGGTAAGCATTGACCACTTCAGAAGGGGACTGTGAAAACAGCACAAAAATTTGTGATGATGACAAATTTTTATAAGGGGTGTGTGTGTGTGTGTGTGTGTGTGTGTGTGTGCAAATTCTCATAACCAGGCTTGAAGAACACAGTACTCTCATCTCCGTCTTGTACTTGGACAATGAGGTACGGAAAGGCTCATAGCTTTCTGTGACTCAGTTCTCTGGAAAGGTACAGCACAGAGATTGGTCATGGAGTGGCTTCTGGGTCCACGTGAACCTTAAACCCATGCTTCTCTGACTAATTTGCAAACTGAATCTGTGGCAATGTTAGAATCCCAGATTCTCCTTCAGATGCCTGAGGTCAGACCTGAGGCTCTGAGTTTCTAACCAGCCCCCCATTCCAACTCCAATACTACTGGAGTGCAGGCCCCACTTTGAGAAACCAGCATTTAAAGCAGGAGTTGTTGGCAACTTGTAGCTGCAATTTAAATCTGGCCCTCTGCTGTGTTTCCACAGGTAGAATGGTTTTTGTATTTAATTAATTAATTAATTAATTGTTGGAACCGGGGATTGAACTCAGGCCCTTGAGTTTGCCAGGGAAGCACTTATTCTATTACATCATCTCCCCAGCCCCCTGTATTTTAGATAGTTGAAGAAATTTTAAAAAAATAATATTTTGTGACCTGTGAAAATTACATTAAACTCAAATTTTGGTGTTTATCTATAAGGCTTTATTAGAGTGTGGCCATGCTCATTTGTTTATTTTTATTTTTTATTGTTTTAAATTTATTTACTTATTTTTTTGGCTCCGAATGCCTTCAGGGCAGGTTTGGCTGGCTTGAGTTGTGGGGATCGAACCACAACAACCTGAGCCTGACTGCTTTGTTGAAGCAGCCACTTAAAGAACTGAGCTAAGGGGCAGGCCCCCTATCTGTTTATATATAATCTTTGGTTATGTCTGACCTATAAGAACTAAAATTTTAATTGACCCTTTGTAGAAAAATCTTGCTGATTCTTGCTTTAAATTATGGTGCATATGTTAGAAATTATTTTTCTTCTTTTCTTTGCCTTGTGTGTCACTGAGCCTTTCATCACTGTCACAGAATACTTGTATTGATTTAAAAGAAGAAAAGGCTTAGCTTGGCTCATGGTTTCCGATGTCCCAGTCCATGGCCATGTGGTCCTATTTCTTTGGGCTTATGATATCTTGGCAGGGACCACGTGTCAAGAAGAGGCAGCTCAGGAGACCTCTACAATAGGACAGCGTACACTTTCTGATTTGGGTTAGAATCCCAAGTTGACTACTTTTAAATTGTTAAAAGGAATACAGAAACAAGTGTGCCAACAAATGAGATTGAGAAGGTACAAGAGTTCTAATGACAGCTAGTCTGAGATGGGGATACTGAGAATTAAAATAGAAGTCACATCTCACAAATCTCTTCTGTGACTCAAAGAACAGAGAAACTGAGTCAAGCCAAAGCATCCAGGAAGTATGATTTAAGCTTATTCTCTTTTCACCAGTACATGAAGTCTGTGTGGAAAATAATGCATCTTATGTCTAAGCAGATCCAATAGGAACTCTATGTGACTCTAAAAATAATTGTGGTCAAAAGTACATAACATAAAATTTACCAATAAGGCATTAAGTATAACATTCGGGGCACTAAGCACATTCATGCCACCACCAAAGCCATCCATTGCAGAACCATTCTCCTCTTGCAGAACTGGAACTGGGTAGCATTGAAAAAGAATTCCCCTGTAAAACCAGCACTTCAAAGCACTGAAACAGGAGGATCCCAAATTTGAGCCCAGCCTAGGTAACTTGGCTAGTTAGCAAGAAGCTGTCTCAAAAAAAAAAAAAAAAACAAGACCTGGGGATGTAGCTCATTATGAAGGCCTTGGGTTGCTCCCAGGGCCACAGAAGCAGACGCAAAGAAACCAACAAACATAAAAAAGCAAAACCTAATTTCCCTTAATAATTTCCTATTCTAGCTTTCTTCAACCCCTCGCATATATCACTTCATTCTGTCTGTATGAGCTTAGGTACTCTAGGCACCCCACAGAAGTGGAATTACACAATATTTGTCCTTTTGTACCTTTTTCCCTTATGATGTCTTCAAGGCTCATCTACGCTGTCATACAGGTCAGGGTTTCCTTTTTGAGCTACGGAACGTTGCACTGTATGTGTGCAAGTTATTTATCCAGCCATCCACAGATGGATGCTTGCATAGCTCCCACTTTGCAGCTACTGTGGACAGTGCTGTGATGGACAAGTATGTGCAGCCCGTGATTTTTGTGCTTTCAAGATAAAATCATGGGCTGCTTTGGCAACTCCCTTGTTTAGAGATTCGGATCACCTCCTACCGGGGCATGTAACCAGAGGTCCCTAGCCTCTGCAAGCACCTTTCCTAACTTTTTCTTTGATGTTCCGTGATTCCTCTAGTATGCATCCTCCCTTGCTTAATAAATGAAATAACCTAGCTTTAGTTGCTTATGTGTTCCTGGTAGGCTTTGACTGAAAGGCCATAAAAAGAGGACATCTTAAAACCATTCACGATAAACACTCACTAAAGTTACAATGTCTTGATTTGCATTTCACAGACAATTTGTGTGTTTAGTGTTGTATTCACATATGTTTTAGTCACTTGTATGCTTTCCTTTGAGACATGCCTATTTAGATAATTTGTCCACCTAAAAATATTTTGCTATTTTATTGAGCTTTTTTTAGTTCTTTGAATATTCTAGATATTAATACATGCCCTGTTGGATGAATTCTGCATATTGTGTCTTCACTGCATCAATTATTTTATTTGCTTTGCAAAGATTTTTAGTTCGATATGATCCCATTTCTCCAGTTATGCTTCTGTTGTATAGACCTTTGGGATCTTATAAAAATTTACTGCCTATACTCATATCTCGAAGTGTTTTCCACATGCAGTTATCAGCAAAATGCAAATCAAAACCACAATGAGATACAATCTCACCTGAGTAAGAACAGCTATTATGAGAGAATAAAAATATAGGAAACATTGATGAGGATTCTGGAAGAGATTATTTTACATGCTTCTGTTCAGAGGATATATTTGTACTGCTGTTATGTTCAATTTTCTTTCTTTCCTTTTCCAGTGCTGAAGACTGAACCTAGGGCCTCATGCATGACAAGCAAGCATTCCATGGCTGAGCCACAGGCCTAGCCCATGGTACAGTTGTGAAAAACAGTAGGGAAGTTCCTAAAAAAAAAATACCCTAAAAACAGAACTAGGAAGTGTAATCAAAACACTGTACATGGTTACTAGTGAAATAAAACTTTATATTATAAAAGTTACATCACTATGAATCCTCCTGAAAAGCTGTCTCCCTTTGAACACACTTATTCTATCATTTTCACCACTTGTGAAGCAGCTCTGGAAGTTCTCTTCCATGAGTGTCTTTACTGCTGCAGAGCACCACGCAATGGAAAGGCAGGGTCATCAGAACATCGTGGTGTGTCTTCATCCACTTTACTCCCCAGGTCTGACACCGTGCATGCTCTGGCTCTCCCCAGAGTCAGTGACCATGAGCAATACATCTTCTGAATCAATTCAGAACATCAAGGCAGCCACCACAGCATGGCTAAAGAGACTCATGAAGGAGGACTTCCAGAACTGCTTCAGAAAGTGGCAAGAAAGATGGGATAAGGGTGTTTGAAGCAAGGTGAAGGATTTGAAAGGGATTAATGACAACATTTCTTTTACTTTAATACATTTAAATTTTAAAAAATCA